AAATTTAAAAATAAATAAAAATTAAAAGGTTTGTTGAAATCCAGAGAGCAGTTGGTAACTGCACGTTCTCTCCCTCCACCTCCCTCCCACCCCCCCTTATCACACTGCTGGATTCAGTTGGCTTATTTCATGATGCCTCTTGTATTATGTCATTTGCCAGCAAACATTCCAAGGATGAATGAAGGTATGTGACCTTCCTCCCTCCAACTATATAAGTAGCTTAAAATGTCTTTTATATTCAGCTGAATTTGTAGACTTCAAGGTGATAGATTTTTATATTCATCTTTAGATTTTATGTGTCAGTGGAATAGAAACCAATTTCCCCTCTTGTACATAATCACTTTTTAAGGTCTCTTTGTGTTTGCTGAAGTCATCCTAATAACTTAAAAGAGGAAAATGTAGCCACATGGTCCACAAAAAGAATATATGTATGTCACTTTATTATTTTGGTAGATTACATGACATTTCTCTCATACTTTCTGAAAAGTAAAGGCACACAGCAAATCAGGATCTCTTTTCTTTTACCAAGTATCAACAACATTGTGAGCTTAGTGCTTCTAGAACCCCCACTTTCCTAAGCAATTAGATCCTCTTGTAGTTGTATGGCTTCAGCTTTCTGGCTATGCCTGATTTTACTCTTATTTTATGTTTGATTTAATACCAAGCCAAGTCAAGCCCCTTGGGAATGCTACCCATATGAAAGGAAAGTCTTCATAAGTCCCAGAAATTATAAATTGAATGGATAACTAATTATCACTTTCAATTACAGCTGTAATTGTAAGAGCTCAACTAGAAAACCCAGATATTGAATGTCAGCTTTGAATATTCTCTCTTATTTATTCCTGGTTAGAGGTTCATATTCTCAAGGAGCAAAGCACAAAATTTGTCAAATTGTTTATGTCACAACATTTACCTTACATAAAAGTCCTGTATAGTGTTGGGCTCTGAGAAGTAAAAAATTGGAACAACCTCAAGATTTAGAGCCGCCAATCACCGTCCCCCAAATGATTTTTCTTTCCTTCTCTTTATTTTTTCCCCCCGGGAGTTTAGGTTATTTCTTCTGTGTTTACCAAAGAGTAAGTCGCCTATGTAGCAAATGGCTTTGTATTTAATATAGTCAATGTCATGTTAAAGTATAGGAAGAACGAACTCTTTTCTGTCTCTGGAATATAAACTATATGTCATTTAGCTGTTGTTTATTTCTTGAGACTTTACATGTGTAATTTATGACCGAAGGCTAAAGTCAATCTTTAGGAGTCTAAGAACAAGAAGACTTAAACCACTAGATTTCAGATGACATTCTAAATCTCTCACATCCATTATCCCATTTTTCCTTCACAGCAAAGCCGTGCAAAGTTAAAAGTTTAGTAAGTTGCCCAAAGCACCCTGCTAGTCAGGTTGGCAGAACTGGGATCAAAACTGAGATCATCTAACTCTAGTACCTGCACTTTTTATTGTGTAATATTAGCTTCTAAAAGTTTTTCAGCCTAAGAGAGTGTTTAATGAAGTGCCAACTTAATTGTTTTGTTCTTATCTGAATCAATGCCTCTTTTAGCAGACTTTGGGTTTGATGAGCTTGAAAGGATGAGCAGATGAGGTGTCATAGTCCACTTACCATGCTAAGATAGATAGCTGGGATGGTGTGCGACACTTAGTAGGTGCTCACATTGTTGGATAAATGAATGGATGCCATGTGTGACTGATTGATGCCATAATATGGTTGTCTACCTGCACTCTTGAAGCTTTTGTGACTATGATTATCTGCGTTATACCTAAGGCCATGCTCACATGGCCTTAATGGTCATAAAATTAATGGTCTGTTGTCTCATCCAGTTTTTGTTTTCCATGATTCGGTCACATTTAAGATCATTTGCACCATTGGAGAGGGAATAGGATGAATAAGGACTATTTGAATTTAACCCCTTCATCTCAGATGCCAAATTTATCTTTTGAGCTGTATGTGGTGGAGAGCTGGGGAGGTGGAGAATGGAGCATGGCTATGACTTCAACTCTAGGTCTTGGTATTTAAAGCCTGGGGAGATTAAATTGGTAGTCAAATTTCCATTTCAATTAAAACTATTTTTTAAATTACTTTTAGCAATTCTGGAATTTGTTTGGATTTAGAGTGTTTTTCTGGATTTATTTATACCAGAGCCAATGTTTTGTATAATTCACAGTCCAAAGAGAAAGCAGTGGGTATTAATAAATGTATACAGAACTGTGTATTTTCAGGTTGTAATTTAAGATACTGTTGCCAAAGTCAACTTGAGGATTTAAAAAAAATCTCAGTAAACTCAGAAAAGTTTGCCAGAAATAAATAACTTCTCTATAAAATTTTATTATAGCATTATTGAATGTAGTGATACAGTAAATTTATATTAAAATTTGACTATCTGCAATAGAACCACTATTTGTAGATATCGTATCAAAGTGTAATTGGCTTATCTCTTGGTCCAGGATGCATTCAGCATCTCGTGAACCCAAGAGTGCATTATTTATGAAGAACATTGCAGAACTACCACTGAATTAAGTGTATTTGTCTTTGTGGCCAACATAATTCATTTAGCCAAAGTGACTAGTTTATCACCATTTAAAGACAGTGAAACACCCATATGAATCATAAAGTTAAAAGTTGGCAGGGGGGGCGCCTGGGTGTCTCAGTTGGTTGAGCGACTGCCTTCGGCTCAGGTCATGATCCTGGAGTCTCGGGATCGAGTCCCGCATCGGGCTCCCTGCTCAGTGGGGGGTCTGCTTCTCCCTCTGACCCTCTTCCCTCTTATGCTGTCTCTCATTCTCTCTCTCAAATAAATAAATAAAATCTTTAAAAAAAAAAAAGTTGGCAGGGGGACTCTCTTGATAGGGACCCACCTTTCTAAGACTTGGATATTCATGTAACCAGAATTACTCATAGCAAATGTGCATGATAAATACAACCGTAACCCTAGATTGCATTTGTTGGTGTTGAGCCAGCAGGGATATGATGCTATTTGTGAAAAACCTGGAGAGGCTGCTGTCCTAGTTACCACTATTGATAAATGAGTTAATGTGATTCTCATTGGGTTGTGTTAGATTATTTTCCTAGTGATTTACAGAATTTTAAATTTCACATTTCAAAAAAAATTGCCAAGAATGATACTTAAAAAAACCAACCTTTTATCTCTTTTTACCATCATTTCATAAATTGCAGGACAAAAAAATGTACACAGCATGTAGTCAACCTAACTCAACAGATTTGAATTCAAGAAATGGATGGATGAATGGACAACAAAAAAGTTGTGATGCTATCATTTCAGAATAAAGGAAAGGCTTTCAATGGAATATACTTACTTTTAGGAAAGACTAGCTGCACTGTCCTTCGTGTTCCAACTTCCCATGCCCCAGTAACCTCTTCATGACATACCACAAACCCACACCTTGGTTTAGGAAGAACTGTTGTATAGCCACTAAATAGTTTAAAGTTAGCTGTGTTCTGGACATTACTGCTTATCTGACTACCCATCACAGACTATTCACTGCCAGTCTTTTACTGAGCACCTACTCTGGGCCAAACACGGTCATCTAGGATTTCAGGATGCCAGAATGATTAAGACACAGTCTGGGCCCTCAAGCAGAGTGCCTTAGGTGGAAGAAAGAGATGGGCTCCTCCCCCACCAAAACAAACAAACAAATGATATGTGGTCTCTGTATTATTTTTGCAACTCTCTGTTAGTCTATAATTATTTCAAAATCAAAAGTTTAAAAACGAATGGACGTATGGCTATGGGACTAGCACTTTGCTGGGCACTGGGACACATGACTACATGAAACCATGATCCCTGCCCCAGAGAGCCTAGAGTTGAGTGGACAAGGCAGAGAAGTGAATGGACAATGTGGGCGCAGTGTGGTAAGTGCTCAGCGGGAGGTTATATAGAGGCTCGGACAATACCTGGAAGAGTATGACTTTAGATAGGGGAGGGGGGCTGAGGTCAGGCAAAGCGCCCCCCGAGGAATTGGTTAGCAGATTTGTAAAGTGCATGGCATGTGGAAAGACTTTGGGACGGTGTGTGGACTAGCCATGTGGTATCTGGAGAATTATACTCTTTCCGAAGACGTTTGCCCCTGTTGGATGGAGTCTTCAGGTTGTGGTGCTCCATGACCAGGACACCAGGCATGCTTATCTTGTTGTTTCTCCTTCGCAGTGTCCAACAAGCACCCGTTCGTGGACAGCAACCTTCTCTACCAGTTCAGAATGAACTTCCGGCGGAGACGCAGACTGATGGAGCTGCTCAATGAAAAATCACCCTCCTCTCAGGAAACTCATGACAGTCCCTTCTGCCTGAGGAAGCAGAGCCATGACAATCGGAAATCTACCAGTTTTATGTCTGGTATGTCAGTTTCGTTGTGTATGTGATCATGTGCATTTGCCTTTTGAGAACTAGTAGAGTAATACCTCACCTTTGTGAAATGCTGTTCTCTGGCACCTTTTTATTTATTCATAACAAGAAGTATGAAAAAAAAAAAAAAACCCCTAGCATGACCAAATTGTTCCTGGGCAGTCCATTTAGATGTTTTGAAGACCATTTTATCAAATTATGTTTTTTTGTGATAGAAGCCTTCTTAAGCTCTCATTCTACCTGATTTGTTTTTCATTTATAAACAATTCTTATATATCATTAATGATCCAGTGTTCTAAATCACAGCACTGAAAAGCTATATATTTTAATGGTGAATGAAGGCTTAGGAGGGCATATTCAAGTAAAAGGCAACTGATTGTCAACCCATCACAAAGCAGTGAGCCAGAACAAAGAAAAATTGTGAAAAGCAAGCAGAGGAGCTCATAAAGCCCAGGATGTCACATGGAAAGTCAAACAGTCCCATATTTACAGTGACCCCTACCAGAAATGATGCTGACAGGTGTTCGCAAAGATAACCCCGCTCAGCTGGAAAAGGTTAACTTGAGGTGCCTTCTGCGGAGGAAGCAGAGGTGCTTAAAGGGGTATCTTCAACTCTTCTGAAAACTTGGCATGGATTGACCTGAGAAACTGGTTGGCCTAAGGTTTGGACATTCTGGGCTTCAACCTGAAACTCAAGGCACAGTGAAATGTGTGTCTTGGTTATTTACGGCAGGTGGCGGTGAGAACACTTGCAGTTATATTGAGACCTTTCTGTGCCCCCTGGCACTGAGCTAAGCTTGGTTGCATGAGTTTTCCTCTTTAATTCTCACTATATCCTAAGAGGAAGGACTTTTCTTATCCCCTTTTATGGGTGGAGAACCTGAGGCATGGAGCACTGGAGGGGCTTACCCAAGGTTACAAAGCTAGAAAGGGGTGGACGGAGCTGGATCTCGCACCAGTTCTGTCTTAACTCTAGTGCTTCTGTTATACTGTGTCCGCCCCCATCCCCCTCTCCCAGGCTCTGCAGATGCAGCTAGGGGGGAAGAAAGAATGAAGCAAGCAAGAGCCCCTCAGGGAAAGTGAGCATTAGCAGCCAGTCAGGAACCCAGTCTGTGCTCAGACACACCCCAGTCGTGTGTCCCCTTCAGGCTGCAGACTTCTGCAAACGCAGAGTAACTGTTCCTGTTCTTTCTAGCACTAACATTTGCCTGTTTCTGGTGGGCCCGATAGACCAGAAAGTGACCATGATGAGAAGGAGGACAGAGGGGACGTGGTCACCATAAAAGCCAGCATTCACTTTGTGCTTCCTGTGTCCCAGGCACTAAGCAGGGACTCTCCATGGCTTCTGTCATTTGACTGTACACCTTCCTCTCTCCTCTCCCTTGTTGAGAGCCACCCCTTCTGTGGCAAAGAGAACCAGATCAGAGCCCTGAACTGCTGCCTCACATACACTTCCAGCGCTAAACCTGTGGTATTATGTTTTAATCTCCCTCTTCCATGGCTCTGGGTGATTAGTGACTTCATATTAAATCAGGAGGCGTGGGGCGCCTGGGTGGCTCAGTCGTTAAGCATCTGCCTTTGGCTCTGGTCCTGATCCCGGGGTCCTGGGATTGAGCCCCACACTTCGTGGGAAGCCTGCTTCTCCCTGGGAAGCCTGCTTCTCCCTCTCCCACTCCCCCTGCTTGTGTTCCCTCTCTTGCTGAGACTCTGTCAAATAAGTAAATAAAATCTTTTAAAAATATATTTTAAATCAGGAGGCATTTATTACTGTCAATCTATTAAGCATCTAGCCAGCAGTTAATTTACATCCTTCTGGGGACTGCTCCTCCGCAGGTGCTCAGTCATTCTTGAAATAACATTTTATGTGCCTGAGTACGTTCCCATACATCATATAATCCCCTCCTTGTGCCAGTCCTGTGGGATTGCATTATTCCCACTTCACAGCTGGGGAAGTTGAGGCTCTGAGAACCGAAGCAAAGGGCCCCAGGTTATGCTACCAGTGAGTGGCAGGCTGCAATTCAAATTGCTTTTTTCTTTCTTTCTTTCTCTTTCTTTCTTTCTTTCTTTTCTTTCTTTCTCTCTCTTTCTCTCTCTCTCTTTCTTTCTCTCTCTCTCTCCCCCTCCCTCCCTTCCTTCCTTTAGATTTTTTAATTTATTCATCCGAGAGAGAGAGAGAGAGAGAGAGAGAGAGAGAGCTCGCGAGCAGGGGGGAGGGGTAGAGGGAGAAACAGACTCCCTGCTGAGCAGGGAGCCCCATGCAGGACTTGATCCCAGCACTCTGGGATCACGACCCAAGCGGAAGGCAGACGCTTAACCGACTGAGCCCCCCAGGCGCCCCAAATCCTTTTCTGAGTCCGAGGACCCGCCCGGCCGCATGCGGCGGCTGAAAGCCCGCCGCTCTAGGGCACCGAGGCCAGCGCCCTCACAGCTGCGTGTGTTTGCCGCCCGCGCAGTCAGCCCCAGCAAGGAGATCAAGATCGTGTCCGCCGTGCGGAGGAGCAGCATGAGCAGCTGTGGCAGCAGTGGGTACTTCAGCAGCAGCCCCACCCTCAGCAGCAGCCCCCCGGTGCTCTGCAACCCCAAGTCCGGTGAGTGAGCCCCGCTTCTGGCGGTGACTGTGGGGGGCGGGGCGGGTGTGCGGGCCGGGTCCCCCGGCGGCCGATTCTCACAAGGGGGAGGCTCGTGTGTGGGAATCTTGGGGCCAACGCCTGTCCAACGGAAGGGAAGCATGTAGGTTTGGGCAGAGGGAGAATCAGGCGGCCCCACGGACCCCAAGGGGAGCTCTGGGGTTGGGATGGCCCTTCAGAGTTGTCCCAGCTTGGGGTGAGGTGGCGAGGCCTTTCAGCCCTGGGGTTGACCAGTCATTAGATGTTGGCTGCCCCTGGGAGGAGGGCATGACCTTGGGCAAGGCAGCTCTCTTCAGAGCTGGTTCCAAAGACAGTTGAAGATATCAGCAGTCCCCGCAGCTGGGAGAAGCCCCTCAATCCTGAAGAGGGTTTCAGCAGATGCAAAGATCTTCTGGGTCCCAGCACCGCCCCCCCCCCCCCCCGCCCCCCTGCAAAGAAGAGGCACGGATCTGTGCAAACCCAACTCCCTCTGAAAATGACTCTTGGTGCCTTGCAGTTTCAAATCCTAGTCATCGACCTCCATGGCCTTTACCTTCCAGAAAAAAAAAGTCTAGGCTCAAAGGTGGTTGATGAGCTTGTGCTTAGAATCAGTTCTTCAGCCCACAGGTACCTGTAACTCACGCAATACTACTAGCTTCTTATTGCCCCTTACCCACCTCTCTCCCAGGATTACATCACGTGGTCCATATTGCTAATAATCACTGCCTTGAAAACACCCTCAACTCCCTTTGTTTCGTGCCCTGTCCACCCTTAGTCCAGTATATCACTTTCAGGGAAGGGGCTTTGTTCCTTTGGCTTATGTTGTTCCCTCATCACCACATTTGGGGATATAAAGATGAAAGGTCATGACCCCTTCCCTCAGTGAACATATCATCTCTCTGCACATGTTAGCGAGAATAAGGACAAATAAGATGTTGATCAAAGAGCTTTAAGAGAAAACTGTTATCTAAGGCTGTTATCTAGGCAAGTGGGTATTTTACTTAATCTAACATTTTTTTGCTACCTTCTGGAGGGTTAGCTGGAAGGATAAAATCATAACCTGCAGCACATGAATGAAGAAACTGGCTTCCACACGGACTCTGGCTGGAAAATCATTGAGCCCCCATATGCAACCAGCTTTTTCAATTAATAGAACACTGCCGATAAGGTACAATGAGAAAGGAGAACTGTATTCTTAGAAACAGGTTTTTTGAAGCCCCTGATCGAAATCTGGCAGGTGTAACCTGAAGTTAGAAGCAGAAAGAGTTCAGTTTCAGGAAAGGGTCAGCCAGGCTAAAGCCATTTTACTTGCTTTCGATTGCATACAATGGTGGAGTAAGAACAAAGTGTTAATTACTTAAATGAACTACATTTGCATTGTTTCCTCTTTCTCCTTGCCCCTTGGCTCAAAGGGAAAAGTTTGCTGATAAGCAGGCAGCAAAGAAAGGTCAGGTTGCCTTATTTGGGTCTCAATTATGGTCGTCTCAATTGTCTTAATCGTGGTTCATAAATCCTACGTTTTGCCCATATTCTGACAAGCTTCTCCCTCACTCTTGGGAGGGTTCCCAGGGTGCAGTGAGCTCATGTGTGATTTTTTTTTTCCTCAAGCAGATAAGCACGCCTTCACAGTAAGGCATTTAAAATTAATCATTATATTTACATCTGGATATAATGCCCTAAGCCAGCCAAAAAAAAAAAAAAAAGAGCTACCAGATATTACCATGATTGGTGTCCTTGTGATAAGTAAATAACTTTCGAAGGACACAAAAAGAGAGAGCTAATGGAAAATTCCATGGGCTTCAAGATTTCTATATTTTTCAACAGAAGAAAGAAATGGCATTATAATAAATATTTTAATTTATAATTCATTTTATTTTATTAGTATGGTGGTCAAATATTATAGTACAGTGTGATTCAAAACCATGATAAGCTATCATCTCTCACCTGTTTAGAATGGCTATTGTCAAAAAGACCAAAAATAACAAGTGTTGGCGAGGTTGTGGAGAAAAGGAAACCCTTGTGCACTTGTTGGTGGGAATGTAAATTGGTGCAGCCACTGTGGAAAACAGTATGGCGGGGGGGTCCTCAAAAAACTAAAAATAGAAGTATCATATGATCCAGCAATTCTACTTCTGGGTATTTATTCAACGGTAGGAAAATGCAAGCTTGAAATGTTATCCACACCCTCATGTTTGTCACAGCATTATTTACAATGGCCGAGACATGGAAACAACCTAAGGGTCCAGGGATGGATGAATGGATAAAGAAGATGAGGGATATATATACACAATGGAATATCATTCAGCCATAAAAAAAGAAGGAAATCCTTCCATTTGCAACAACGTGGATGGATTTTTGGGGGCATTATGCTATGTGGAATAAGTCAAACAGAAAGACAAATATGTGGTCTCACTTACATGTGGAATGAAAAGGGAAAAAAAAACCAAACTCACATATACGGGGAATAGATTGGTTGTTGCCAGAGGAACGGGTGAAAATGGTCAAACAGTACAAATTTCCCGTTATAAAATAAATAAGTCCCAGGGGTGTAATATATAGCATGGTCACCATAGTTAATAATACTGTATTGTATATTTAAGAGTTGCTAAGAAAATAAATCTTAAAAGTTTTCATCACAAGAAAAAAAGTTGTAACTGTGAGTTAATAGGGTGTTAACTGGACTTATTGTGGTGATCATTCCACAAAAATATATACATATATTGAATCATTGTGCTGTAACCTGACACTAATATAATTTTATATGTCAATTATACCTCAATAAAAAGAAAGAGAATGTGTATTAAAAGAAGTGGTCAGTATTGTTGTCAAATATTACAGTGTAATGTGCTTTCTATATCCAAATTCATACACCCAGAAGTGGTTATGGGGGAGGGGGGAATTGTCTGATAGGGAATTAAAAGGGCTCAGTCCTCAACCATGGACTTCTTCTCTTACCTCCTGTTCATCTGAGAGGTTTTTTTCTTGATATTCGATCTACTCCCTCTTTTGGGGGGAACGTAAATTCATGTTCTCTTTTGTGAGCTTTCTGAAAGCAAAAGTCATCATCCCAGCTGCCTGTCATCTCAAGGAGAAACACTTCATTGCCTTTAACGGAGAGGGTGTCTGTTAGGGCCAAGTTTCCTGGTGGACCACTTTTTCTTTTTCTGTTGCACCCTTGTTCCAGGACTGGCCCCTGACCTCTGAATGCTGTCAGCCAAGGGAATTGAAGCCTGGCACTTTGCCAGGTTAGCGGCTTGGCCTTGGCCCCTTACGTTTCTTTGTGATACCCAAGTTCATGATCTCTGTCTAACTGGGTTAGGAGGCTCCCTGGCTCCCCATCTCCTGGCTCCTCTGGTGGCTGTAGCAGTCCCCTCTCTAGTTCTTAGTGAGCACAGGATGAATGGAGAAGGTCCTTACAGTGGTCTCCCTCTCCCCTTTCTGTGGTGTCAGTTACCCAGGTCAACCACAACCAGATAGCAGATAATCCTCCTTCCCACATAGCGCCAGGAGGTCAGCGTAGCCTAAGGCTCTGTCATAGGGCCTGTGTGATTCACCTCAACCTCGTCTCATCGTGGAGGCATTTTATCATTTCATATCATCACAGGAAGGGTGAGTCCAGGACAATAAGATATTTTGAGAGAGAGAGAGAGAGAGACCACTTCATATAACTTTTATTAGTGTATTGTTATAATTGTTCTATTATTAGTGATTGGTGTTAATCTCTTACTGTGACTCATTTCTACATTAAATGTGATCCTAGATATGTACGCCGAGGAAAAAACATAGTATCTCCAGGACTCAGTACAATCTGTGGCTTCAGGCATCCACCGGGGGTCTTGGAATGTATCCCCTACAGATAAGGCGGGACTACAGTACTGTCAGGTTTTTAGGCAGCCAGCAAGTCAGGGATTGGCTGCTGGCTTCGCCATCTTGGTGGGCCACAGCAGCGAGCTGATAAGAACCGATGTCTTAGGACGACTCACCACTGCCTTCGGGAGATTTTGAGCCCATTCTTCTGCTCACAGAGAGGGCAGAGCATGGGACGAGCCATGTCACAGTGGCTGATGGGCATGGGCATCCAGTGGCTGCGTTTGAATCCCAATTCTGCTACCCATGAGGGCTGAGACCTTGGACAAAGCTATTTAACTTTCTAAACCTCTGGTTTCTCACTAATAAAATAGGGACCATGAGGAAGCTAGCTCAATAGCTTTTGTGATGACTAAATGAGATAATGTATTTGGAGCACCTAGCACACGCTAAGTATGCATAACATTTCTCTAGCATCATTCCTCGGGGCAAAAGGCAGTGAGTGTGTCCATGCAGTCTGGGGTATTGGTCAGGAAATAAGTAAAGCTTCTGTGAGTGGGATGTGTGTGGTATGTTGTGAGGGGTTAGCTCTTGAAACATGGCTATCGGACCTCTAGCGTCAAGTCTCTCTCTTAACCTTGTCCTGTTGAATACGTATCAGGATTCAAAAGAAAGAAGTGTGAGCACTAGAAACTTTTTCTTTTTTTTTTTTTTTTAAAGATTTTATTTATTTATTTGACAGAGAGAGACATAGCGAG